ACCTTGGAAGATAGATAATTTGACCAGCGATACTGTTGCTATCCCAAAGACAAAAAAGGTTGATAGCTTGTAAACTGAATTCCGGGAAAACTAAAGTTTTTCACACCTGATCTTCTGGCAGCATAGGCTCCTCCATGTTCTTCTCCAATATGTTTCAGCACCTTAATGTCTTGTAGCGCTTGCCCTTGAAGGGGTCCCCTGTTTCTGTGCCCATGAAAATAGTAACACATTGCTGGGTTAGGAATATTTATTGCAGTACATGCAGTACCCAGGCAGATATACAACAACAGCAATAACATGGAAAACATTTTAACTACACAAAAAATATATATATTGCAAATAGTAGAACAGTAGAAAGGAATCTACAGTAAATAACAATCAATGGGTGTAGACTACAAATATAGACAATACACTTTTCTGCTGGCCAGCTTGTTGGGACTCAACTGTTATGTTGGAGCGCTCAGAATGATCTCCCTTTAAGTACTGATGATGGCACTGACTCTGGTCCCCGGTAGGCTCTATTAGCATTCCTGGTGTTCTTCAATGTCTGTCGCTGTGATCACCTCCTTTTAGGTGTGGCAGTGAGCAGTGTGCTAGCAGCCTGATGTGCAGTCAATAATAACCTCCACACCTCTCCACTGAGCCCCAGTGCCTTCTGGGATCTGCAGTTTCCTCTGAGCCCCAGTGCTTCCTGGGATCTGCAGTTTCCTCTTTCCAGTCTATCGAGTCAGCTCAATCTGTGTAAGACTATACCTCCCACAATCCTAGCAGTCCACATCCTTTATCTGTCCCTGTTCAGTAGATGGCGGGTTGATACTGGCTGTACAGTTCCACAATAGCCATCTCCTCCTACAGCTGTGTCTGTGTAGAAGTCTCCTGTGAACACAAGCAAGGGCAGGAGTGGACACAGTGCCCAAGCACCTACTCCTTTCCTTGTCAGATGCTGCACACTGGGCTACAGTCTTCTGATATCATCAGGACCAATGCAGAGCCAATAGCCCTTCTTTGGATGTGAGGACGCCAAGGGGCAGTCCACTGCTGGAATGTAGGTGCATTCCATCTGTTGAGGGAGCATAGGATCATGTAAGTAAAAGTGCCTTTCCTGTCCTCATACATAAGGCCATGTTCACTTATGTGCAGCCATGCGGGCTGTGATTTGTGCGGGTACGAGAGCCCATTCATTTGAATGGACTCCTGTGCCCCAGGACACGCAGGGAAGAAGTTCCTGCACCTCTTCGGAAATCGCAGCCCGAATGGGAACCAAGGTTCCCAGTACGGTTGCAATTTCCAGTGCAGGTGGCGTGCCATTAGAATTATTGGTTCCCGTCCGTGAGTCCCGCATTCCTCTATGTTGGTGGTGCAGCTGCAGGTACAGTATTTGTAAAAGGTCCCACAGTGGCACCACCCACACAGATGTGAACCAAGCCTAAATGAGCAGTCAACCTCTGCAGTGCGGGTTTAGGCTCACTGCAAGGGAGGACTTCCATTTTTCCCAGAGTTGGGGTTTAAGTGCAACTTTGGTGTATTAAGAGGGTTTTTTTTTTTTTTACTTCTATTATTAAACATTTTGAAAAGGATAATACAACTACAGCAGGCAGCAGTTTTAAAGAGCATGGACAAGCACAGCACACTGTAAATAGCTGAAGTGCTGATTGAAGGCACAATTCAGATATGGTTCATCAGCAAAGGGAAGCACTTAGGTATGAATAAAAGCATAGAGGTCAACACCACCTTAGTGTAAGGTTTTTGGTAGGTAATCATTCATGGGGACACCTCCATAAGCATCTATGCCTGCTACAAATGGGCACCATTTACCTGCTACTAATCATCTCTTGGAAATTCAGGTAGAGAAAACTATTCCCCTACAATAATTAGCTTCATTGCTCCCATAAGAACATAAATAATGTAATAGCTTCTTGAACATATTGCTGACTCTTGACTAGAAGAACCCACTTTGAAACCACCCATTAGCTTAAAGAGACCCTGAAATTGAAGGAAGGAGGAAACAGCTGCAAGCACCTACAAAAGCACATATCTGCCGTAGTCCCCCAAACCTTTGTCTAACGACTGATTATTGGGCAGTTCTGACAAGCAAAGCTATAACACTAAAGGCCTCATTCACATAGGTGTTCTTAAGCATATGTGGAGGCCCTGGACAGGGCTAGAGGTGGGGGAGAAATAGACCTGCACTCAGGAGGGCTGGCTGTAGACTTCCTGACCCTTAGGGAGGTAGGGGCTAGGGCAGGTTGCAAAAGGTCTTTTAGGCCAGGCCAAGAGTTCCCTAAGAGTAAGGCTATTCCCTGGAGGGTCCAAGGACTGGTGTACCTATGGAGAAGGTGACTACACAGAGCATAGTTCTGTGATTACTAATGACCTTGAGTGACAGAAGAGACTGTTAAGAGGTAGATGACTGCTTAAAGTACTGCACATGCTTTCACATGTGACTGCTGCAGATGTATTTCAAGTGACTCCACAATGTATGTCATTGTGATGTAACTGTTATGCTATTTCCTGAGTATCATCAGTAAAGTGCAGTGATTCTATTCATGTGTAGATATTCCTTCCTTGGGATATAAAGATCAATGGCTAGGAATGTCGTGTGGAAGTAGGGCACAATATGGCGGAGAATTTGGCCTCAGCAAAAGAGGTATTGTAGTGTAGGGTAGTGCAGAATCAGGGGTAGGGACTTGTGCTGTCGGTGGAATCACTAGCCAATCACAAAGCCCCTCTTACAAGATTTATTTGTCCCCCATAAGTGTCTGAATCTTTTTAACAATGCAAACAACAGCAGTTGGGTGGAATTGAGAAATCTGGTATGGCTATCCTGCCAAATGAATCCTAACAGATATAAGAATCATGCAATTCAACTTTGCTTTCACACAAATAGTTCAGTTTTCTAAAGTTATCTAAAAAACATATCTCTCTAAAGTATTCTCAATGTCAAGTGTCCACTTTAGCTTCAAACACTGCTACTTAGTGGTGCTCATCTTGAAGGCGCAATGGACAGTTCCTTGAAATCTTGCTTCCGTGAATATACCAGTTATTATTTCCCATACAGTACATCTTTGACTTAATCACAAGACATCTCACAGTGCAGGCTGTGGAGTTTCGATGGTCTTAATGGCAGTTATATGCTTGCATGCAGATAAATTGGATTTTAATAATAAAATCCCCCTTTAAAAATTCAACATTTCTCTATAACCTTTTTAGTATTGCCCTTGTCTTTCCTGGCCTAGTCTCTCATCCACCTACAAAACAAAATCCCTACAAGGCAACATGCTAAGAAGAAAGTATATTTATTTTTCAGTGACAGAATCTACGATCTACAAATACTTCTGCATCTCAAGTGGGTTTTGTCGATATTTAATTTGTAAATCTTGGCAGTATGACCTTAGCCAAGCTACCAACGTCTAAAAGTTCTTATAAAGGACATTTTAAATGACAGGACTTAAAGATCAACTACAGTGTTGTTTCTGAAATGTCATGTGTTAACCAATTTCTGTAGCCTAGACCTTATACAGCGGCATACTTCATCCCGACCGCCTTGTGTTTTGGTGATTTATCCTGCAGCGTTCAGATGCCAGCTCTCTTGCTTGTTTTTGCAATGTTTCTTGTACTATGAAAGCTCTGCATTCAATTCTACTAAATTAATCACCTTTCAGCAGGAGAAGACAAGTCCACCGACAAAAATTTAGATGGGAACATTGGTTTTCTTTTCTTTATGTTACAGCGATGAAAATACCCAATTTAAACGTTTCTGACTCATTTACATGTGTACAAAACCTCACCGATGGTATACTCCAGTCTGATTGAAAATGAATCCTTGAAAGAATACTTTCTCTCTGCTCAGGGCTTCAGTTTTTCATTTATCCTTTTTGCTTAAAAATAACAAATATGTCATACTTTCCTGCTCTGTGTAATGGTTTTGCACAAAGCAGCCCCAGTCCTCTTCTTCTCGGGTCCCCCGCAGGCGCTCCTTGCCCCTCTCTTCTGCTTACTGCGCCCAGAGCAAGGAGCTTACTATGGGGGCACCCGAGTAGGCTCGCTCCCGAGTTGCTGCTCTGTGAGACCTGTTACACACAGAGCATGGTTCGGCCCTGCCCCTGCCCCCACTCTCTCCTCATTGGCTCACTGGCTGTGATTGACAGTAGCGGGAACCAATGGCTACTGCTGCTGTCTCAGCCAATGAAGAGGGAGAGACCCAGGAGAACTAAGGCTTTTGTGCACAGCGCTGGATGGGGGGCTCAGGTAGGTATTAGGGGTGGCTGGGGGAGGTGTTGCACACAGAAGGTTTTTTTACCTTCATGCATAGAATGAATGAAGGTTAAAAAACCTTCAGCTGTAACAACCACTTTAATTTTTTTTAATTTATATGTACTGTGAACCCCCACCTTGTAAAACAACCTATACAGTTTAAAACAGAAATGAAAGGTAAAATATTTGTCCACAGATATAAAAACATCATAAATATCTTTTTTTTTCCTGTTTTTAAGTGACTACATACTATCTGTTCTCTTTGCATAGAGATGGGGGTGGAGAAATAGCAGCACACTGAACTTACCAGTGAATGGCTGTCTGGGGAAGGGGGGGGTGTCAGGACAAGTCTGAATTTCTTAGAGGAGGAATAAAAAAACAAAACAACAAAAAGCAGCTGAGGCTAAATATTCATATTCAGCCCGGAGCTGTCCACATTCCACAGAATGAAAGATGTCCTCAAACTTCCTTTTCTTCTCAGCATTACCCTGCGCTCACAGTGAGATAATGTGCATTGTAATGATGCAGTCATGTCATCACCACTGTCTGCATCATTGACGACCACCCACCGCTGGAGAAGATCCAATGAGAAAGAGGGCCCTTTGGATCACGTGACTGGCCTAAAGACTTCTGGAAAAGGTAACTATACAAAAAAAGGCAAAATCAGAATTCAGCTACTTTGTAAAAAGTGCAGGCATACTATGAGTTAAGTCCAAGTGGACATGCATGCCACCTCCTGGACTTACAGTATCTCAATTATTTATATCTGACAAGTTTATGAAACTCTCGGAAGACAGCTATGGCTATAGTTCAGGGAGCTCTGATGCTGGACCTTATGGTCTCAGCCAGGGGCGGACTGACCATTTGGAAACTCGGGCACTGCCTGAGGGCCCGGGGTAAGTAGGGGGCCCCATGAGATGCCCCTGGTACCTTTTTCATAGGTTTTTTTGAGTTTGGGCAAGGACACAGGGGCCCCATGATCCCCTATTGCCTGGGGGCCCCATGAGTTGTCAGTCCGCCCCTGGTCTCAGCTCCTTCAGCACTAGAGTTGATGCAGTTGCTATGCTGCCCCTCCCCTCCTCCTGGCCAATCATAGAAGCCTTTCTCCTATGTGCACTCATTCCCAAAATACAAAGGCTTCTGTTAATGGGTAACAGAGGGGAGGGGCAGGCAGAGCTGCTGTGTGTGCTTCTCTCCTCTCACAGCCCCGAGTGTCTCCTCCAGGAGCACCATAAACCTGTCTAATATACAGTGAGTACTACAGCTATGTCTAGGAGGTGGCATACACCTTGTTGGATTTAACTCATATTATGCCTGTACTTTTTGCAAAGTGACTGAATTCCTGGAATTCAGCGTTAAGCATAAAATACATATAAGGGAAGCACAGGGGAAGAGGGAGTGGATACCAGTGATGCTTCCTAGATTGTAAGCTCGAAAGAGCAGGGCCCTCGAACCCCTGTGTATTGTTTTGTTACTGTATTGTCTCATGTTCTGTCCCCCACTATAATGTAGAGCGCTGAGCAAACTTTTTGGCGCTATATAAATACTGTATAATAATATTAATGACCCGCCCTGTAACTGGACTTAGTAGTCCACACGCCAATAGCAGATATATGGGGTTTATTAACACAGGAACAATCCCTACATGTGAATAATAGCAAACAATAGGTAGAAATGATAATTTCAACAATACAATGATAGCAGTACAATACAGCTACAAGAAGAATCAAACACAATGAGAGCTTATTCTTTTTGCCACTGCTTCATATGCACTAGCCGAGTGCAGAACAATATTCTAAGCAGCAAAAAAGCAATACTAATTAAACAATACTTAATACACAGTTATAACCAGTTGTATGATTTGAAGGGTATACCACCAAAAGAAAGCTCTATTTGTCTTATAGAAATGAAAAAAAATGTCATATGGGTACAGTGTTGCATGACCGCGCAAATAGTCATTCAAAGTGTGAGAGCGCTGAAAGCTGATAATTGGCCTGGGGTGGAAGGCGGTGAAAGTGCACAGTGGGCAAGTTGGTATTATTATTATTATACTGGATTTATATAGTACCAACAGTTTGCGCAGCACTTTACAATATAAAGGGAGACAGTACAGTTACAATACAATAAAAAAAACAAGAGGATTAAGATTGCCCTGCTCATAAGAGTTTACGATCTAATAGGGTGGTACAAAGGGTTATAACTGTAGGGAATGAGCTGATGGAAGTGATAAATGTTTAAGCGGAGGCACGATAGGCTTCCCTGAAGAGATGAGTTTTCAGGGATTGCCTAAAGGCAGCTATAGTAGGGGATAGGCAGACAGATTAAGGTAGAGAGCTCCAGAGGATGGGAGAAGCTCTGGTGAAATCCTGGAGGTGAGCATCGGAGATGGAGACATGGGAGCTTGAGAGCAGCAGATCATGAGTGGATCAGAGAGGACAGTTTGGGTAACATTTGAAGACAATATTGGTGATATAGCTCGGGGCAGAGTTGTGAATAGCTTTGTATGTTGTTGTTAGTATTTTGAATTGGATTTGTTGGACAATGGGAAGCCAGTGGAGGGATTGGCAGAGAAGGGTGGCAGACACTGAGCAGTTGGTAAGATAGATGATTCTGGTTAACATACTTTGCCAACCCATAGTGAGAAACAGGGTTGGGCAGTCAGGACGTTTGAGGTTTAGAGCTGACAGGATTCTGCTGAATCTTCCAGGGTTACCAACAGCCAAAAAATTTACGGATTTTCTGTAATAAATGTAATCCATAAAGTCTGAAAGAACTTGCCTGCACATTGTGCCTTTGTTTATGCCAAATGTTGCTTATACTGAACGACCAATGCCACACTCGTGATCCTGCTGCACTATAATGGTCCCAGTGCCCTACCACTTTAGAGAATGTGTAATGTAGTTGCCAAATCCTGTGGTACGGTATTGGGATATGGTCACGGTCCCACAGTAAAGAAAGCTGTGCATGCCTTGTATTGGGATGTTGTGCTAGCAGCCGCAGGGTTTTTATTCAGTTTTTTTTTAATTTTCAGGTGTATTTAAGTGCAGGTTTTCTTGTTGTTGCATGGTTCCAAAGTGTCCGTAACCCACAGGCTGTCCTGAAGCATCCAGGGCACAATGATAGAGTGTCAGTGGGGTTCCAATTGCTGGAATATTGTCACGTACTTGGTCAGAGGCCAAAGTGCCAAGAGGGCTCCCCTGGAGGTAGGTATAGGAGATGCTCAGCCCAAAGAAGCATGGGTTTCCAGCTGTAGGAGCCTGAAGATGATGATTACCTGAAGAAGTCAGGACCAGAAGGAGTGACTCCAGAAGTGGAAGGCAGTACTTGACAGCAGGCAGCAGCAGGAACAAGAATCAGGAACAGGTCAAGGTCAAACACAGGTGATCAGGCAGATGTAAAGTCAGGAGGATAAACCTGGGTCATACACAGGTAATCAGGCAGCAGCAGAGTCAGTAGACCAAGCCAGGGGTCAAAGCTAGGAGCAGAGAAAAAACAGGTCAAAGGCAATCCGGGTCGGCAATGGAAAGTCTAATAATAGTTCAGGAACACGGGGCTGACAATCATTCAGCAACTAAAGGCCAGAGCTGCAAAACAATTGGGCACCAATGAACAAGGGCCTAATAAGCACTGGCACTGTCCACCAATACAGGGGATAATTCAATGGCACTGTTCAGCAATGAAGGGAGAAATTCAATGGCACTAGTCACTGATAAAGAGGGTAATTCAATAGCACTCTTCACCAATAAAGGGGTGATTCAATAGCACTGTCCATCAGTGAAGAGGTAATTGAATAGCAAGTGCAAAAAGAGTTATAACTAAGTGCATTCTGCATGAAACGCATTAACTATGTTGCTGCGATCCTGAATCCTGGGTCTGTGATGTCTGTATTTTTTTAATTTAATTAATAAAAGCTTGCAATGTTTCTGAAGATTGAAGTGCAGTTAACCTCTTTTTGTATTTGCTTGGAATGTTCAGGTCACGGATTGGACCGGCACCCTGTGGTTCAGAAAGGAGATTACATGATTATGTCTCACCTGGAGGGGTGTCTGCTTCTCTGCTGAAGTGTAATTCAATAGCACCGTCCACCAATGAAGGGGGTAGTTCAATAGCACCGTCCACCAATGAAGGGGGTAGTTCAATAGCACTGTCCACCAATGAAGGGGGGTAGTTCAATAGCACTGTCCACCAATGAAGGGGGTAGTTCAATAGCACTGTCCACCAATGAAGGGGGTAGTTCAATAGCACTGTCCACCAATGAAGGGGGTAGTTCAATAGCACTGTCCACCAAAAAAGGAGGGAATTCAATGACACTGTTCACCAATGAAGGGGAGGGGGGAATTCAATAGTACTGTTCACCTGTGAAGAGGGGCAATTCAATGGCACTGTTCACCAATGAAGGGGGGGAATTCAATAACACTGTTTACCAATGAAGAGGGTAATTCAATGGCACTGTTCACCAATGAAGGGTGTAATTCAATGGCACCGTTCACCAATGAAGGGGGTAATTCAATGGCACTGTTCACCAATGAAGGGGGTAATTCAATGGCACTGTTCACCAATGAAGGGGGTAATTCAATGGCACTGTTCACCAATGAAGGGGGTAATTCAATGGCCCTGTTCACCAATGAAGGGGGTAATTTAATAGCACTGCCATTGATCACCAATGAAGGAAGTACAGTCAGGTCCATAAATATTGGGACATCGACACAATTCTAACATTTTTGGCTCTATACACCACCACAATGGATTTGAAATGAAACGGACAAGATGTGCTTTAACTGCAGACTATCAGCTTTAATTTGAGGGTATTTACATCCAAATCAGGTGAACAGTGTAGGAATTTCAACAGTTTGCATATGTTCCTCCCACTTGTTAAGGGACCAGAAGTAATGGGACAATTGGCTTCTCAGCTGTTCCATGGCCAGGTGTGTGTTATTCCCTCATTATCCCAATTACAATGAGCAGATAAAAGGTACAGAGTTCATTTCAAGTGTGCTAATTGCATTTGGAATCTGTTGCTGTCAACTCTCAAGATGAGGTCCAAAGAGCTGTCAGTATCAGTGAAGCAAGCCAACATTAGGCTGAAAAAACAAAACAAACCCATCAGAGAGATAGCAAAAACATTAGGCGTGGCCAAAACAACTGTTTGGAACATTCTTAAAAAGAAGGAACGCACCGGTGAGCTCAGCAACACCAAAAGACCCGGAAGACCACGGAAAACAACTGTGGTGGATGACCGAAGAATTCTTTCCCTGGTGAAGAAAACACCCTTCACAACAGTTGGCCAGATCAAGAACACTCTCCAGGAGGTAGGTGTATGTGTGTCAAAGTCATCAATCAACAGAAGACTTCACCAGAGTGAATACAGAGGGTTCACCACAAGATGGAAACCATTGGTGAGCCTCAAAAACAGGAAGGCCAGATTAGAGTTTGCCAAACGACATGTAAAAAAGCCTTCACAGTTCTGGAACAACATCCTATGGACAGATGAGACCAAGATCAGCTTGTACCAGAGTGATGGGAAGAGAAGAGTATGGAGAAGGAAAGGAACTGCTCATGATCCTAAGCATACCACCTCATCAGTGAAGCATGGTGGTGGTAGTGTCATGGCGTGGGCATGTATGGCTGCCAATGGAACTGGTTCTCTTGTATTTATTGATGATGTGACTGCTGACAAAAGCAGCAGGATGAATTCTGAAGTGTTTCAGGAATATTATCTGCTCATATTCAGCCAAATGCTTCACAATTCATTGGACGCTTCACAGTGCAGATGGACAATGACCCAAAGCAGACTGCAAAAGCAACCAAAGAGTTTTTTAAGGGAAAGAAGTGGAATGTTCTGCAATGGCCAAGTCAATCACCTGACCTGAATCTGATTGAGCATGCATTTCACTTGCTGAAGACAAAACTGAAGGGAAAATGCCCCAAGAACAAGCAGGAACTGAAGACAGTTGCAGTAGAGGCCTGGCAGAGCATCACCAGGGATGAAACCCAGCGTCTGGTGATGTCTATGCGTTCCACACTTCAG